TTTCTGTATTTGAATTTGATTTGAGATCAAATATTTGATCAAATCAAATCAAATCAAATCAAATTGCGGAACCCTATCCATCACAAACCCTACCAAAAAAACCAATCTGACAATATACGCTGTTTTAAGCTTGTTGTATAATGAATGCATTTACCCATCGTTAACATCACCAAAAAACCTAATCTAATCCTAATCCTAATCTAGCCCTAAATTCACTGCTAACTCAACTATAATCTTAAACCTACTCAATCATCCTAACTAAGATTGCCTGCCAAATCTTGATTTATACCCAGATATATAAGTGTGAGGGTATCATACTTATATACCTGGGCATGTAACTGAGAACTCGGGTACATGACATGAACTAGAAGAATACCCAGATACAGATATCACAAAAATATGGTAAATATGTCATTGATTAATTTGAAATCTGAAACTTACAAGATTCAGTAATTTTGAAAATTAAGAAATCACTAGCCAACGTAGCCATAGCATCTAGAAATTAACAAAAGAAGTGAAAGTACATATGAATTACGAACAAAGAGCCAAAACATGCAGAAGTAAGAAAGTTCAAAATGCCAATACTAACAATAAAGGTAAGGTATCAGTAAATGCAAGAAACCTACAAATGGCAACAATGACACCGAAATCGCGACTACCAGCCAACATAACCACGTCACCTAGAAATCAACAAAGAGAAGTGAAAGTATATACAAATTACGAACAAAGAGCCAAAACAGTACGGAAGTAAGAAAGTTTAAAATGCCAATACCAACAATGAAGATATTAACAAATACAAAGATACTTACAAATGGCAGCAATGACATTGAAATTGCGACCACCAGCCAACATAACTATGGCACCTAGAAATCAACAAAAAGAAGTAAAAATATATATGAATTATAAACAAAGAGCCAAAATGATAGTATTAGCAGCTACACACCAGGCACCACAGAAATGACACGATGATACCAAAAATCAGTAAAACCAACAAAGAACGGCACTAGAAATTGACAACACCAACGAATGATGACACCAGAAAGGGAAGAATACTAAACACTGAAGACAAAAAAATAAAATAAAAAAATAAATAAAAGAATCTAGTAGCGAAAAAAAAATAATATAAAAAATCTATTGCTGTATATCACATTCTTGCTGATCCGTGTAAATAAAGATTCGCGTATACTGAAGTATTTTAACATGTTCATGAACCTTGAACATGTTCATGAACCTGAACATGTTCATGAACCTGAACATGTTCATGAACCTGAACATGTCGTGAACCTGAACATGTTATGAACCTGAACATGTTCATGAACCTGAACATGTTCATGAACCTGAACATGCTGATTGGACAAAATTAATAACGTGATATCTTTTTTGATAATCCAGTCTGAATTAGAAAATCCGATTCTAGAATAATCTGTGTGAAATCTGTGAATTAAAAACTTCACTAAGTATATAACTTCGTTACAGCAAATACGCTATACGTTGTGGTCATTATGGCCATGCTCAAAATATTATCATATATATAAGTGCTTGTCTTCACCTTTAGTTGAGGGTAACTTTCGCTCTCCTAAATTTCTCAATAAATATAGATCACATACTAAGCTCTCCCTTACGATGGTTACAATACACGTAATGTCTGATTGAAGAAAAAGAGGTACTCACAAGAATAGTTTTAATTATTATAGATCAGAACACTGTGACTAACTATATAGAATTACAATTTATTATAATCTATTCATAGGGAAAAGTTAACATATTTGAATAATTCAAATATGGTTATTATTACAAACATGAAATTGGTGCTAAAAGGGATAGAATGTTCATTTATCATCAAATATTCAGATATGAGTATGTGAGAGTGAAAACCTGTAATTTATCATAATAATTTATTACTGTATTATGATCAGTTACAGGTTTTCACTTTTATGCACTCATATAATAATTATATGTAGCAAAGTTTATCAAGTTTATTAGCTATCATTTAGGAATTTAGGTCGAAACAGACATAAGTATTTGAAATTGGTTAAGGCAAGTAATCTTACAATGTATTTCCATATTTAATAACTATTCAAGTTTGCAAATAGTTTATTATTTAAATTTATTTATTTTTTTTTCTGTTTTATTTAATTGTGTATATTGCTCCAACAAGCATATATTTAACATATGATCTAAACATATCAATCTGAGAATGGACAAGCAAAGATAAGAAAGTTTATAATTGCAAGAAAGAATTTCAATTTAGAACTACTTGGTATGAATATATGATTAAGCGGATTCTATTTAATAAAATTTTATCTATTTATTTATTTTGATATATTTCTATCTCTATAATAACTAGATTGCTTTAATACGAAGCCAAATCCACCTTACTGATTATTTAAATATTTTTTGTAAAGTTATTGCTATGTACTGCAAAATAAATCTTATTTTTAGTTATCACAACCTTTATTAAAATACGACGTTACCTTTAGTCTATATATTGATATAATTAATGAAACAATAATAGTCTTCATACATATTATTACTAATTGGCATTTCTTTGCCTAGCATTAAGAATTAATGAATTGACACGAGATAACGATATAATTTATACAAAAAAAGAGCAGTGTGCACCGATGTACTGTAAATCAAAAAAAATTGAAAAAAAATATTCTTAGTTCAGTTGTTTCCTCTGAAGGTTTATCTTAACACGGTGTTATTCTTACTAATGAATCCTATAATATTCAGAATATGCAAGCCATAAACATTAGTAAAGCTTATTACTGTTATAATAGCATGTCAAACTGTATTCACATTCTAAATATTAAATATAATGCTTCACCATTTTTTTTGTTGACCTTAGAACTTACATATAGTTAATATTATAGGTACATGCAATAAATTATAAGAAAATTCGCTTCTAAGTGAAGTTTTTGGTTTGTAAATTATGGGGTTATTGTTATTTTTACTTCAGTACTTCAGTACTTACGGTAATTCTGTA